TGCAAGATGCTCAAAGTCCAGTGTGAAGTTTCCACAGTCTGTGTTGATTTGGGGAGCCATGTCATCTGCTGGTGTTGGTCCACTGTGCTTCATTAAGTCCAGGGTCAACGCAGCCGTCTACCAGGAGATTTTGGAGCACTTCATGCTTCCTTCTGCAGACGAGCTTTAGGGGGATGCTGACTTCATTTTTCAGCAGGACTTGGCACCTGGCCACACTGCCAAAAGCACCAAAACCTGGTTCATGTCCATGGGATTACTGTGCTTGATTGGCCAGCAAACTCGCCTGACCTGAACCCCATAGAGAATCTATGGGGCATTGCCAAGAGAAAGATGAGAGACATGAGACCAAACAATTCAGAAGAGTGGAAGGCCGCTATTGAAGCATCCTGGTCTTCCATAACACCTCAGCAGTGCCACAGGCTGATAATGTAAAAAAGTACTCCTGCGCTAAATGGAACACCTATTAATAAGCAGCTCACACTCGCCTCAACCACAAGGAAAAAACATAAATATTACAAAAATTAGTGCAGCGCTAGCAACCTATACTAAAACACAAAATATATAAATGAACATTTCACACATAGAATGCACAATAAATGATATCACAATATCTGGTGTTATGTGCTCATAAAGTAAATACTATGTGCAACAGTCCATAAATTCAAATGATGGTGAGAAATCACAGCAAACTCCGTGAGGTGAGCACAGTGCCACTCAGTGTGCAGTCCATCCACAAATGGCCAAGGTGGCCCCTCACCTCCTTAATGCGACCCAATGGGCCAAACAGCTATATAGGTGACCTTATACACCAAATAAGGTATCATCAAGGGATGGAACGCTTGGATAGATCACTCCAATATCTTCTCCTATCTCCTAGGTACTCGATTCCACAGGACCATTTATAGGATAACATTAAAAACTGTGCACGCTTAACCCTGCCAGGTTAAGAAGATATTGGAGTGATCTATCCAAGCGTTCCATCCCTTGATGATACCTTATTTGGTGTATAAGGTCACCTATATAGCTGTTTGGCCCATTGGGTCGCATTAAGGAGGTGAGGGGCCACCTTGGCCATTTGTGGATTGACTGCACACTGAGTGGCACTGTGCTCACCTCACGGAGTTTGCTGTGATTTCTCACCATCATTTGAATTTATGGACTGTTGCACATAGTATTTACTCTATGAGCACATAATACCAGCCACAGGCTGATAGCTTCCATGCCACATGCCGCATTGAGGCAGTAATTGCTGCAAAAGGGGCCCAAACCAAGTACTGAGTACATATGCATGCTTTATACTTTTCAGAGGTCCGATATTGTTCTATGTACAATCCTTGTTTTATTGATTGCATGTAATATTCTAATTTTCTGAGATTGTGGATTTGGGGTTTTCATGAGCTGTAAGCCATAATCATCACAATTATGACAAATCACGGCTTGAACTATCTTGCTTTGCATGTAATGAGTCTATTTTGCACGATATTCTAATTTTTCAAGTTTCACCTGTATGTGCTCGTTCATTAAAACTTTTGGACCCATATGGTGATCCTCGATGTGCTGGTGACATTCTCATGTTGGGGACTGAACTACACACTTTTGTCTCAGAGATCATTTGAGAACATTACACCTAATCTGTGCAATTAAGATGCATAGACTAGTATCTGGTAAAAAACAAACACAGACGCTAACAGATTCCGTCTGCAAAGGCATATGAATTAAACATTTAGCCTTCCTTCAGCGCTGCAGCAATAAAAAATGATCATGTATATTCCAAGTTAACTCTGCTCTCACTCGATCATGAAAGAAATATACTGTAATCTTCAAACAGTTTATGAAAAGATGATCCAGACCAAATGACACTTGACTGGATTATGACAATAAGGCAGGCCATACATTATACAATTTTCTTGAGAATTTTTCTTTAGATTTATCACAAATCATATAATATGAGGTCAAACCTAAACAACACTTTAAATTTTATCCAATTAGGCAGGCCCTTGCACGACATACTTGAAGGTAAATCTACTGGAAATTGGGCAACAATTGGACAGAAAATTGTAAGAAAATTGTAAAGTGTATGGCCAGCCTTAGTTTTATTTTTTAAAGCGGAACTTTACCCATAACAATTTGATAACAATTAAAGTTTTTTAACAAAAGAACATACATTCCGCATTAATAATTATGCTACCAAAATGAGTGTGTGCTGTATATTGCCTCCGGCATTGCTCCTGTTTCTTCTTGATGGAGGCTGCCATTTTGTTGAAGCTTAGAGCAGTCACTTCCTTATTGGAAACTCTATCCTTCTCCATGGTCTCAAAAACTAAATGTTACTTTCTGTAATTAAAATATGTACATTTATAAGCTTGATTGTATGTCTTGGCTCAGTTAGAGAGGAAGGCTAACAGAACCTTTAGGCTCCATGCACACTAACTCAATGCTGCAAAAAACGCTGGAAAAAAAACACTAGAAATAGCATTTTTTTAGTAGTGTTAAGCGCAGCTTTTTAGCAGCATTTTAGTAGCGTTTAGGAGTGTTAACATTTTATTGGTGTTTTTACAGTACATGTAGGAAAAAAAGCTAGAAAAAGCTGTTAGGAGCATTTTAGTAGCGTTTATTAGTGTTTTAGGAGTGTTCAGCATTTTTTTTTCTGCCAGAAAAAACACTTCCAAAAACTCTACAAACTGCTCCTCAACACTGAGGATTGAAAAACGCTACTAGCCTAAAATAGTGTGCATGGACACATAGAATAACACTAGCTTCTAGGAGCAGAAAATAAATGCTAGTGTGCATGGAGCCTTACAATCTTGAAACTCACAGATCTGCCAACATACAGTAGAAAGGAGAGAACATGAGAGAGATAAGATAAAACACTATCCTTGTAAGTTTGACTCTTTTGTGTCTCCCTGGCAGCAGAGTTTGTCCTTTTACCTGCCAAAAAATGTGCATTTATTATTTTTGGTCAAAACGTTAACTTATCCTTTAGCCCAGGTTCACACTGATGTGGTGCGGAATTCGCAGCGTTTTCAGTGCGAATTCCACACTGCATCAGAATCGAACCCCATTCATGCGAACCGCTGCGGATGTATATGTTAAGTTAACAACACCCCAAAAGCGGTTCGCAAAACGCGGTGCGATGTGCAGAATCGGATCGCATAGGTGCGAATTCCCATGTGACACGATTCTAGTGCGGACCCATAAAAGGGTCCTGCACGTATTTGGTGCGGTTGTGGTGCGATTAGAGCCATACAAAATGTATGGCTCTGATCGCACCGCACATTAATTGCATGTGGTTTGCACAGGAATGCGCTGTTCTGAATCACATGCGATGTGCCGCACCGCATATATGTGAACCCAGGCTTAAAGTTCTCATCTGACTGGCCTCTGGTGGCTCTGATTTTAAACACAGTGTTGAGATTAGAGAGCAACTGAGCATGTGTAGAACAGGGTATTACTGGATTTTAAACAGTATACGGACTCGTTCTGAATGTCTTACATAGCTATACCTGCAAAAGGGGCCAGTCTGAAGTGGTCTATCAGGACCATCGAACACTAGCAATGTAAGTCTATGGGGCCACACTGCAACTGCCCTGTAGTTAACTGCATGCAATGCTTGCAGGGGAGGCACAGTGGTGCAGCATTTAGGAGTTAGACATGTTGCCTCCTTGCTGGCTATCAAATGCCTCTGAAAAGCGATCCGCTGCAGAGGGGTGGCAAGGGCTGCAGAACATGTGAACAAGCCTACTGTAGACTGGGAAATATATATTGCAGGTAAAAAAAATACATTTTACAATCATAATTGAGGGGTAAACGTCATAATAGTGCATGGGGTAATAAACAAAATAACAGTGTCTGCGGAGGTAAGGACAGGAACAAAAAACTGCCCCATATACATATATTATTTACAACTATAAACTGTGTGTTGTTGTTTTTTGTTTAATTAAAATAGACTGATAAAGATTACTTACAAAAGGCTGATCGCATGCACAAAATTCTTCATGCCATTTAATGTTATTTTTTTGTGATACTGAGAAAACAAAACACACCCAGATAAGACGAGAATATGATACAAGGAATTCAAGACAAATCCATGGTAAGATTTTATCACGTGGCTATCACATGTGCAGACATGTGCATTTATTTATAGCTATCTGCTTTGATAGACAATGAGCTATTTATTTCATCACTAGCATGCCATTATTATACTATGAAGTACCATCTTACGTGTGCATGGCATGTGAATCACTGACCTCATATAACTAAATACTCATAGACTGCTGGTAAATGCATCTGGAAAGAAGACAGCGGGAACAATGTATAGGAAGCTTCTCAGCAGTGAGCTATGACTGTGACTGCAATCTCTGGGTTATCTTCCCATTTTGGCTCCATGCACACTGGGCTTAAAAAAAACGCTGCTCCTTCAGGAGTTTAACGTCTTGCCTGTAGAAGCAACTAACAATACCACTTGCCCTCCTGAGGATTTTCCCCCTTCCTGACCAGGCCATTTTTTGCGTTACAATCACTGCGTTATTTTAACTGATAATTGCGGCGGGTCATGCAAAACTGCACCCAAATGAAATTTACGTCTTTTTTTTCCCACAAAATTAAGCTTTCTTTCAATGGTATTTGATCGCCTATGCGGTTTTTCATTTTTTTTTTGCACTATAAAAAAAATTATTTACAACTTCGAGAAAAAAAAAAAACAATATTTCTGACTTCTTGCTACTAAACATGTCCAGTAAAAATATTTAAAAAAATCTAATTCTGATGTCATAAATTTAGGCCAAAAATGTATTTGCTAAAATAAAAAATCCCAATACGTGTAAATTAATTGGTTTACATGAAAGTTATAGCGTTTACAAATGGCGGTATATGTGCTGGATTTTTTTTTTAATCTTTACTAGTAATGGCGGTGAATAGCGACATACTATTGCGGGACTGCAGCGGGGCATTCTGACACTGGGGGGGAAATGACTTGGTGTCACTGACATCCCCAGTGATACCAATACAGTGATCAGTGCTAAAAAAAAGCACTGACACAGTACTAATGGCACTGGGCAGGAAGGGGTTAGTATGAGGGGTGACATCAAAAGGGTTAACTGTGTGCAGGGAGTGTTTTACTGGGGGGCAGTGTGTTGGTGCTTCACTGTAAGCACACTGCTCTGGATGGCTGTGCTGTGCACAGACATCCAGAGCAGTGTGCCCGAGCTGACAGGAAGGAGGACTGTTAGTAAACAAAGCAGCCCTCCCCGTCGGAGATCCTCGGCGGGACCTGGTGATTTGACAGCAGCATCCGCAAATGGCTGCACAGGTAGGGCACACGCACGGCTCGCACTCACCCCCTACCCGGAAATACCAAATCACGTATATATATATATCATATATATATATATATGTGATTTTGTGCTCCCCCTGCCACTTTGTAGTAGTATTGTATTTCTGCTATAGTGCGGTACCTTTTATATTGGGATGGATGTGGTTTAAACTCAGTGTTTTAGAGGAAAAGAAAAAGTTTGTTGCATTTTTGAGAGCTTTTTTTGGCAGAAAAAAAACGCTAGATGCTGCTAAAAACATTCCTAAACGTTAGTACAAAAACCACTCAAAATTAGTGTTTTTTTTCTGCCAAGAGCACTGGCATTTTTAAGAGCCAGTTTTTAAAGCAAATCTAGTTAAATGGGTTTTTGAGTTTTAATAATTGTATACATTGTAACTGAAGCGGAGTTAAGGACCACGGCACACCCCCCCCCCAACAACAAATTAAAAAAGTCAGCAGCTACAAATACTGGTTCTCTACTGCACATGCGCGAAGCATGCTGTGCTTTGTAAATGGGCCACAGTCCTCTGGGACCAGTGAAGTGTCCAAGTGGGCTGCATGGGGGAGGGGGTTGGCAAACATCCCGGTCAGTTTGCGCTGGCAAACTTAGGCTGGCCATACACTATACATAAATAAATAGTGTAGCGCTCATAATAAATACTAAAAAATATGTGACCAATTCATATAATACAACCCTGAAACAATTGAAAATTCATACAATAGAACTCTTCATAGCAATAGTGTAAAAATATATAAATAGTGTCAAACTTATAATAATATCCGTGTTCCATAATGGACACGCGTGTTCACACTCTAAATAAATATAACAAGTGTCCAAAAATTAAATACCGTGCTCACACACCTACTGTATAAAATAATGCCTAGGTATTTATAGAACCTTTATAAAGATAAAGTGCTATAGTGCCAAAACAGTGCAAAAAAGTGTCCACTCTTTCAAAAAATTAATCACAACAATGTCCTTTTGGTGATAGATATAATCATGCAATGTGTAGTGGTAATTGACAGATTCGTGATTGTGCCAAAAATTTCTCCTGATTGGGGCTAGATTGCCTCCTCACCTCTCTCCCAGTGACCCCTAGGGGCCAACAGGCTTGCAGCATCACCCTGGATCCTTAACTCATATGGGCCAGCAGCTTCCTTCCTTCAGTAGATTCCTTTATGGGGCTCCTATTTCCCCTGATCAGCCAAGGTATCTCTGAAGGACAATGGCTCACCAATCAGTGAGCCAAGAAAAAAAGACCCTCTAAGTGTAGTACTTCAAAAAAACGTCTCCTGATCTATGGTGTCAGTCCTGGAAATGAACATTGCAGTCCCTTCCTGCTTCCATCCAGGATGTGTCTTGGTCTTCACACCACACCTTTCCTAAACACTACAGAGTGGACCTGGGAGCCCTGTTATCATTGGTATGCTGCCTTGTGGTGCCAGGGAAAACAGCAACTTGTATGAAATACTTACCATAATTTTCCTTTCCTGGCACCAATCCATGGCATCATATAGACCCACCCTCAGTATGTAAGTTAAAGTGTTACTAAACCCACAACAGTAAAATCAGTCTGTATCTGCAGTTAAAGCATGCTTGTTATACTCACTGTGGAGCCAAGGGGTTAAACCTCCGCATTGTGTAAAAAGGATGCATGTTTGATCCTGTCTTCTCTGATTCACCCATTCTTCCATTGTCCCCTACATATCTCCTGATAGAACAAAAGGTTTGGAGTCACTCTGCACATGCTCCGTTTGGTGTGTATTGCTACAGAGTTTTTTTTCCTTGGGAGGAGAGTGCATGTGAACAGCACAGGGCCATTCAGGCACTGTCCAGACAGAGGGTCAAGGGTCCTGCGTCCTCATAGAGAGGAATGAAAACTCCTCCTACAAGCTTTAACCAGTGCACTGCTGGACAGTGACAGAAGTCAAAAGACTGCTCTTACTGCTGATGCGGAAAAGGTATTTAGCAGTTTATATAAATAAAATAATTGCATTTCCATGTTCTGTGTACTGTGGGACCAGAGAGAGTGAATGCAGAGTCCTGGGTTTAGTAACACTTTAATATGAGGAATGAGGGAGGGTCCGGTCTTTCTTTTATGCTATTCATTGGTCATGAGGAAGGAGCTAGAGGCAAGGCATTAAAAAACCATATATGTGTTGCATTTTCATATAAGTTATCAAAAACAAAATGTGCTAAAAAGTCATAAAATCATTTCACTATAAGGAAGAGAGTGCAGTGCAAATAAAGTAAAACGGTTAGTAGACAGTGCATCTGAACAGAATGTACTGTGTCCAAATTTCATAAATTAAAGTCCTCTTCTGTATTCACCACAGTGCACAAAAACATGACGTCATTACGGCTCGGCCAGTCAGACGACTGGAGCTTGTGAACCCAGAAGGAAGACCTGATGAAGGCAGAAGCGGGGGACAGCGCACCGCTGGAGGGCTTTGTTTTAAGGTACAGTAAGTCCTTCATAATGTGCTAGTATGTGATCACAGTGCACAAAAACATGACGTCATCGCGGCTCGGCCAGTCAGACGGCCGGAGCTTGCGAACCCAGAAGGAAGATCTGATGAAGGTAGAAGCGGGGACAGTGAGCCGCTGGAGGGCTTTGTTTTAAGGTACAGTAAGTCCTTCATAGTGTGCTAGTATGCGATCACAGTGCACAAAAACATGCCGTCATTGCGACTTGGCCAGTCAGACGGCCGGAGCTTTTGAACCCAGAAGGAAGGCCTGATTAAGGTAGAAGCGGGGACAGCGCGCCGCTGGACGGCTTCGTTTTTAAGGTAAGTCCTTCATAATGTGTTAGTATGAGATGCATACTAGCATATTATGACATTGCAGGGATTGTTTTTTTTTTTTCAAGCTTTGGTTATATTTTGTTATTTAATTATGTTATATATTTTTTTCACCATCAATTTGGAGTGGGACTTATATAATTTTTATATATTTTTTACTTTATTTTATTTTTCAAAATGTTTTTGTTGCAGTGATATTTACCGCTTTAAGGAGGTATGTAAGGAGTTCTGACTTGATATCTTTCTCATATGTCATATATTTCACGCAGGTAGCCTGTATTATGTCATGACTCATTAGGATGGTATAATGCACGTGAGCAGGAGTCACAGGGAGAAGAGAAATCTAAGTCAGTAGACCTTACATATGTACTTCATTGTGCTGACTCAGCTTAACTGCAGGATCAGAACCTCTGTGTTAATTCTCAATTTGTGTCACTGTCTTGGCTCTGTGAAAAACATCTTACCTGTGTTACAGGCTGTGTAAGAGCTGCCTTGTCCCCTTGGTATCCAATTGCACACTGCTGCCCAGATGACCTCCATGGCCATCTTTAGTGAGGGCAGTGCTAATAAAAGCACTGGCTCACTGCAATTGTTGAATATTTTGCTTGTGGATATTTTAATAATGGCACACACTGGACAAGGACAGTGTGCATAGTGTAGGGAAAGGTTCCAGAGGAGAAGGGACAGTGTAGGGACTGTTCTGTATTGCTGCTATGTGGAACCTCCCCACTTCTAATTGTATACTGTCTGTTAACCGCCTCTTATGCCATGTACAGTCGGTTCTCAAGCATTGCTCTCCGCAAACACTGCAATATCATCTGTGAATTTTTCTGACTGTTGCAGCCTCAGCATAGACCTTATTTCAGTGTGGTCGATAATATACTTCCTATTAAACCAGATCTCCGTGTACTCTTCCCTCCCTCTTGGGTGCTTACCACCATATTGTTAAGAGAAACAATCATCTCTGAATACAAAAATGAGAACGTTAGGGTTAGTTTTACACTAAAGTTGCTGTCTAAAGAGCGATCCACTTTTGGATTGCTCCTCAGATAACAGGCAGTGAGGAAGCATTGTATAGCCTCCCCAGTGCTTGTTTTAACTCCCTAAATGCCAAACAAAAGCAGACAAGGGCGCACTCTCATGTGCATTACCGTGGTACACCACATATTTATTGAGAAAACAAATAGATATATACTCACAAACCCAAAAGAGAATAAAAACAGAACAGGTAGTCCATGATAACAGACCAATGCAATACTGCATCCTGCGTAGGGATAAGCTGACGTGTTTCGGGAGACTAACCCCCTTCTTCAGAGCCAAAAGTGTATACCTGCTGATCCAACATATATATACCAAAGTGTGCTAAAGAGGTCTGTGAAAACGCCCTGGAGGAGGGGCGAAATGCATTGATGAATTTCCGGTTTTTTGGTAATACGTCACTTCCGGTGAGTGGAACGCGTGCCAGCGTGCGGCATTCCCGGGCGCCATCTTGCTTATGGGTGATTCCTGTGCAATCATCTGTTGCTGGACCGTGAGATCTCAGAAATATACCCTGGTGATGTGGCGTTTTGGCTTCATTTAAAATGCAATAAAATGCTGATTTTGATCATAAAGAATGTGAATGGCTTGATACTTGGAAACTGAGTATAACCGAGTATTGCAGTATTACACTATGTATTTGTTCTTTTCCCTACATTATTCCAAACTTTTTCTTGGAGAGTGGTGTCTGGTGATCCTGGAGGTTGGAGGCTGGCTATATTCCGGTCTGGAATGGGGAAATCCAGGAATATCTGGATGCATACTGAATGGGTCTAGGATCCCAAAAAAAACCCTAGAATGTGTTTTTTTCACCAATATCTGGTGAGTGCGGTATATTTTGAGCATTATTTTTGGTGGAAACACGATTTATAAGGTTCTTTGGGAAGAGGACGTTCATGGATATATACTGTATATATTTTTTTTTGATTTATTATATTTTTAATTATATTATATATTTTTTTCACCATCAATTTGGAGTGGGACTTATATAATTTTTATATATTTTTTACTTTATTTTATTTTTCAAAATTTTTTTGTTGCAGTGATTTTTTTTATTTTATATATTTGCGCTGTTTTGATGTTTTGTATATTTGGTGTTTTTTGCACTGAT